CCGCCTATCATCAAGGTTTAGCTATGGCTGCAGCTGTAAAAGAAATCTTCCTCACACACAAGCAAGGAGGGAAAACAAATAATGGCAAATGCTTTAAATGTGATCAGAAAGGCCATTTTGTCAGGGACTGCCCTGTGGCCCAAAGGTCTCAGTACAATACTGCAAGGCCAAAACCCACAAGTCTATGCCCAAAATGCAGAAGGGGATATCAGTGGGCTAATGAATGCAGGTCAAAGACAGATGCAGATGGCAATCCCCTCCCCCAGCAGGGAAACGGGATTCGGGGTCAGCCCCAGACCCCCACCCTCAGACAGACCTCCGGGGCTATAAGGTTTGTCCCACAACAAAACAACCAGACACAACAAGACCAGGCACAAAACAATCCATTTCAAACCTCCTCCGCGCCACACCAGGAAGTGCAGGACTGGACCTCTGTTCCGCCTCCAATGCAGTATTAGCTCCCGACATGGGAGTACAAGCCATCCCCACCGGGATTTATGGCCCTCTTCCCAAGGGCACTTGTGGGTTAGTTCTTGGACGTGGCAGCGCAATATTAAAAGGGTTACAAGTTGTTCCAGGAGTCATAGATAACGACTATACTGGCGAAATTGTTGTCATGGTATCCTCTATCTCTGGCCTAGTTTCCATTAGCCAAGGACAACGTATTGCTCAGTTGGTGCTGCTGCCTTTAGTTCAAACTTCTAATGCAGCTGTGGCTTCCTACAGGGGAAATTCTTCCCTTGGATCCTCAGATATATACTGGGCTCAATTCATTTCCAAAGATAAACCCCTTATGGCTTTATTGCTTAATGGGAAAAGTTTCTCAGGGCTCATAGATACAGGTACTGATGTAACAGTCATTAGAAAGGAGGACTGGCCTCCCACATGGCCCTTAGAAACCACTATGACGCATTTACAAGGGATTGGACAATCTAAAAATCCACAACATAGTGCCAGTCTACTTACCTGGAAAGATAGTGAGAACAATCAGGGGCACATACAGCCCTATATTGTAGAAGGGCTGCCCCTTAACTTGTGGGGCAGAGATTTGCTAACTCAAATGGGAATGATGATGGGCAGTCCCAATGCTGTAGTCACCAAACAAATGCTCACTCAGGGCTTCCTTCCTAATCAAGGTTTAGGCAAACGAGGCTCAGGCATTAAAGTGCCTATTTCCCCAACTCCAAACCCCTCTAAAGCACACCTAGGCCATTTTCAATAGGGGTCATTGACCTTCCTGCAGCCCATGCAAAAGAGATTACTTGGTTATCAGACAAACCTGTTTGGGTCGATCAGTGGCCCCTTACCTCTGAAAAGCTCGCAGCCGCACAGCAGCTGGTGCAAAACCAGTTAGATGCGGGCCACTTTGTCCCCAGTGATTCCCCTTAAAACACACCCATCTTTGTTAATCGAAAAAAGTCAGGGAAATGGAGGCTGCTACAAGACCTTAGGGCAATAAATAAGACCATAGTCTTAATGAGACATCTGCAGCCAGGACTCCCTTCACCCAGTGCCATTCCTCTGGGATTTTTAAAAATTGTCATTGGTCTTAAAGATTGCTTTTTTTCTATTCTTTTACATCCAAATGACCAAAAGTGTTTTGCCTTCAGTCTTCCATCAATTAATTTTAGAGCCCCTATGCAGAGATTTCAATGGCGAGTCTTACCACAAGGTATGGCTAACTCTCCAACGCTATGTCAGTCTTTTGTCGCTGCTGCAATACAGCCAGTTAGAGATCATTGGCCAGATATATATATCTCCCATTATATGGACGATATCCTCTTGGCGGGAGAGAGTCAGAACCAAACTTTACAGTGTTATCAGGCATTACAAGCTGCCTTACAAAAGGCTGGGCTTCAAATAGCCCCTGACAAGGTCCAGCTTACTGACCCATATACATATTTGGGTTTTCAGTTACAAGGCACTCAGGTGTTTTCTCCAAAGCCTCAGCTAAGGCTTGATGGCCTTAAGACACTTCATGATTTTCAAAAGCTTCTGGGTGATATTAATTGGCTTTTGCCCTATTTAAAATTGACCAAACATGACCTGCAACCCCTTTATGAGATCCTCCGAGGAGACATTGACCCAACTTCCCCTCGAGAGCTTACACCTAATGCTAAAAAAACACTCCATGCAGTAGAAGAGGCTATTGCTCAACAAACTGTCTCATTCATAGATTATAATAGGCCACTGCATTATCTCATTTTTAATACAAAACTTTCTCCCACGGCAGTATTTTGGCAACAGGCTCCTCTTATGTGGCTTCATCTGCCAGTTTCCCCAAAGAGAATATTATTGCCTTACTACCAAGCAGTCTCTGACCTGATAATTCAAGGCAGAAGGCTAGGAAAATGTTATTATGGAAAGGAACCAGATATTATCATTCAACCCTTCACCAAAGATCAAGTGGACTGGTTACTTCAGACCACTGAGGCATGGCCTATTGCTATAGCCTCCTTCTCAGGAACCATTGATAACCATTACCCTCCAGATAAGTTAGTTGATTTTGCTAACCATCATCCATTTGTATTCCCCCAAATCACAGCTTCACAGCCCCTTTCTGGTGCCCTAGTGTTTTTTACTGATGGCTCCTCCTCTGGCAAGGCTGCTTATGTAGGCCAAGACAATGTTTTTACCCTTCAGACAAACACCTCTTCCGCACAGCTAGCTGAATTACAGGCCATTCTTGCAGTTTTCACTGCTTATCCTAACCAACCCTTCAATTTGTACACCGATAGTGCCTACCTTGCTCAGTCTGTTCCATTACTAAAAACTGTTGCAACCATAAGCCATGCCTCCCCAGCTGCAGACCTATTCAAACAATTGCAGGACATGATTCGGCTTCGCAGTCATAAGTTTTTCATTGGCCACTTACGAGCTCACTCTAGCCTCCCAGGTCCCCTTGCACAGGGAAATCACTTGGCTGATATCGCCACACGGGCACAGGTATTCATGGCCCACTCTGGGCCTATAGATGACTCCAAGATATCTGAGGCCCAACATGCTCATCAGCTACACCATCTCAATGCCCAGACCCTCCGCCTCCTCCACAAAATTACTCGGGAACAAGCCAGACAAATTGTAAAAAACTGCCCCTCTTGTGCTGTTCACTTGCCTGTTCAGCATCTGGGAGTCAACCCGAGAGGTTTGATCCCCAATGCCTTGTGGCAGATGGATGTCACTCACTTTAATAAATTTGGCAACCTAAAATATATACATGTAAGTGTTTTGTTTCAGGTACCTTCAACAACTTCCTGAGGATATTTGTTTAGGATGATCTCAGTTTAGAAAGCAGAAGTCAAACTGGAAATTATATCTAGTAACCTAGTCTGACACTCTAGTATATAGTGTCTGAAAAAAGCATGGTATATTTGAGCATATAGTTTACTATAAACAAACCTAAACTGAATTGGCAGGTGTTTCTGCACAGTACAGAGAGGAGTGTGTTGGCCTCCATGGAGATGGATCAGTTAAACTTCCTATGCTTGTACATGAGAATTATCATTTGAACTTCAAAATGATCACAAAAGGGTTTGACTGCTTGATGAATATGCTAAAAGTACCAGACAGTGTTTTCCCCAAACTATATGAAAAAGTGCAGTGTAAGAAAAAAAGAGGTGATACCAGGAATCTTTCCCAAGTCTTCTGCACACATAACCAGATTTCTGCAAACCTAAAGATAATGGTTTGTATTTCATTTTCCATAAGCACTGTACCAGCTCTGTATACTGTCTTAGTAATCTAAGAGTTAAAGATAGTTTATAAAACCTTTGATATTCGAACGAGATATATTTATCTATAACAATTGGGAGTGATCTTCTTCTTCAGCTAGCTTTTGCCCCCCATCATAAACTGCACCATGTTGCCAAAGCCACCCGAGTCATCCTACAGGAAGGCAATTTTCCAAATGCAGTAGTTCCCTCCCCCTTCATCTTGTTTCACTCTTTCATGGTTTTAGTTACACAGTCAAGGTAGTCCAAAAATGTTAAATGGAAAATTTTAGAAATAAGTAATTCATACCTTTTAGATTTGTAAATTTTAAATTATAACACATTCTTGAGTAGCCTAATGAAATCTTGTGTTCAAGTAACCCCTACTTTACTTAATAGTCCCAAAATGCTAGAGTAGGGACCCTGGTAATTTGTATATGCCACACAGAAGTTGTAAATGCTTCTTTTTAAGTAAAAAGGTCAAAGTTCTTATTAAGGAAAGAAAAAAACCCACAGGTTGCTAAGATCAATGGTGAGTTGCTAGTCTATTACTGTGCCGAAATTATGTTAAAATTTGTCATAGGTACGTGTGTACAACATAGGGACAACTGCATATGAACTGTTTGGACTGTCCTGTTTCAAGCACATGTGGGAGGACCTGAACCGTGGCCCCGATGTGACGGGGATACTATAATTTTCCGGTTCCGAAAGACACCGCCCAAGGGTCAGAACTTCAGAATTTCCAAAACGACTCAAGTAAGTTATTTGTTTTGGCTGCCAAGTCTTTTGCAGCCAATCTTGCAGAGGAATCTTAATTCCTCTCAAGACCCCAGAATCTCTCTGGTCGTGGAGTCAGAGACACAGAGGGTTCCGTTTCTCCGCGCCACCACTGAGTGCCACCCATCTCCGCGTTAAGTGTCTTTGCCCCTTCCAGCACCAATACGCTCTGCACTGCAGGACTGAGAAGCTGAGAAACACTCTGATGCACCTGTGACCCGTGAGTAACGCTCATTTTCTCTCGAGAGCAGTCTGGACTGTCGTGAGCCAAGAGGACCTGGCGACACACAGGGACATCAGACACCTACGACTCCACTTCTGGACTAATTCTACGTCACTGCGAAGGTGGGTGGGGCAGAGATTGACGGCAGAAGGTCACTTCCGGTTACGGTGCGTGTGACGTTAAGCCTCTTGAGACAGCCTCGTCGCCCCGGAAGCCAAGGAGGGGAGGGCTCGCGAGAGTTCAGGGCGGGCCGAGACTCCGGCCCGGCGCGGCGCGGCGCGGACCCCGCCTCCTAGGGGCGGGGCGAGGAAAGCAGGCTGGCGGCGGGAGTGGACGGTACCGGCGGCCGCGGAGCGAACTAGGCTGAGCCGCCGGGCGCCGCGGATAGGTGAGTGCGGCATCGCCATAGGGCTGCCCGAGACACGCGGGAGCGTCCGCGCTGCGGACGTCAGCGGCGGCTGTGGAGCTGGCCTCAGCCCCCGGGCCCCGGACAAGGCCAGCGGGCAACCTGGAACCGGGTCTGTGTCCCCCGCCGCTTCCTAGGGTCCCCCGTCGGCCCCGTCCCGTCCCAGCGAGGTCGGGCCTGCGTGCGGTGTCTGGGTGGGGAGTGGGGGCGGCGCGTCTCTGAAAAGTTGCCAGGCTGACAGCAGAGACCAAACTTCATTCCCAACACTGGCAGCCCCTGCCCGAGCCCCGATGCGGCTCCGCTTCCCGGGGCTGCCTGCGATCCTGAGCTGGAGAAGTGATACAGAAGGACGGGCGAGGATGCTGATGGCCGCGGAGCTGTGGGGAGTGGACCGAAGCCTCTCCCTCGGGGTGGCCTGGGCGTTAGCTTTAAGGCTGCAGAAATCTGAGGACACCTCTTCAGTGGATTTTAAGTTACCCTTCTTGGTTCTTAGGAGGGGGTTGAGTGAGACCTGTTTCTTTGTCGTGGGGCTTAAAGTTGTTATCTTACTGCTTTAAGTCAGAATCTGTTGTTCATAGCCTCAGTTTGTTTACCTGGTACAAATTTTTGAAAGTTCTTTGTTTCAGTCTTATCTGTATAAGATACTGGAAGTCTCTTCAAATTTTTCTGGCATTCTCATTATGCCTTGGGATATGTAAAACAATTAACTTTATTACCCTCTTTCCCCGTAACTGAGTTATTGTCTGTGAACTAGACACTCTTGTGACTGAGAAGAGATAAAGTAGTCCAAAAAATGAAATGAGATTGGATCTGTTCTTGTATATGTTCATCAAAACACTTTTAACTGAAAAATCCCGATCTCAAAAGAGGTATGTTGGCTAAAAATTTTATTTGGTTTGACTTCATTTAGCTTGTTAAGATGATTGATAATATTTCCCATTTGGTTGGGATATATGTAGAATGAGAAAGTTGAGTGTAGGTTTTGTTCTCTCTTGAAAGGGCTTGCTATTTGGAAATGGCTGGAAAAAAGCCACATAAAATGAGTTCTCTAGCCTTTTGTTTTTGAGTTTTAAGTCAATAGAGAGATTATTTGTGCAGATAAATAGGTGTTCTCAGCAGTTTTTGTGCTGAAAATTTAATTTTGAAGGGTAGAACTCTAGAAACAAAGAAAAAATTATGCTACCTAGAAAATAACATTAGACTCAGTTCAGCGATTTGTTTTCAGAAAAGTTTTGTTCCCTCAAGGGAACCATCATTCTGATTGTGAAGTTGAATGAAATGCCTTAGTGCTTTCCCTGTGACCTGAAAGAAAACTTTTGGGGGGCACTTTTTAAAAAAAGGGGGTAAAAGAGATGAAAAAGCCAGAAGGATTTGCATCTCAATGTGACTTTAAAATGGTTTTATTTTACATCAGTAAGTATAGGGTTAGCCAGGCATGGTAGCATGTGCCTGTAATCCTAGCACGCACACTCCTGTAATCGCAGTACTCTGGAGGCTGAGGCAGGAGGCTCTTAGCAAATTCAAAACCTGCCTGGGCTACAAAGTGAGCTCAAGACCAGCCTGAACTACATAATGAGATGCTGTCGTAAAAAGACCAAAAAAAAAAAAAAAAAAAAAAAAAAAGTAAAGTGAATTATCAAACATATTGTCATTTAGCATCCCAAGGAGTACATTAAAATCAGCAGATGGGCAAGTTATGATTATTTTAGACTCAACATATATATAGTATATATATATAGTACTGTACCTTTATGTTAAAAGCACCATGAATGTTTTGAATGAGATAATAAAAGCAAGTTTTTTTAATTACAAAAAGCTTTGGTCAGTAGTTAAAAGAATATTAAGTGAATTCTCCTTTCTTCCTCCCTTTACCTCATAAACATTTTAATTCGCTTTTTTTGAGACAGTGTTTTATTATGTAACCTAGACTGGTTTTAAACTCATGGTGATCCTCCTGTCTCAGCCTCCTGAGTGCCAAATTTACAGGCATGCACCACCACGCCCAGCTTTAATTCACATTTTAAGGGAATATTTACCAAAGGCTACCCAGTACATGGTGTTCTGGTTACATCATCCTTTTCCAGGTGAAGTTTTACTGATTGGCAGAGTATGATGGTCTGGGATCTTGGAGGGAAGTACATGGCAAAAATGGGCAGTATTTGCTGTCCTGTACTCTGAGGAAGTGTGGGCTGTGTTTTTAAAGAGATGCAACCTAATGGGAAGCAATTGTGCCCATCCAAGTAACTTAATTACAAAATATGCCTTGTGAGGAAGCCAAGGAGGGAGGGATTGAATCCTACTAGACCAATTAAGGGGGATGTAGAATAGGAAAAGACATTTGTGAAGATGATTTGGGGAATCTAGTCATATGATAATGATGGTGAGGGAACACTTTATAATGCTGTGTGCTGCATGAATCTTTCCTTCTACTACTTAGTATCTTAATCCTCACAACTGTATGCATTTGGTGTTGTTGCTGATGGGGTGACTGGGATACTGAGGTCTGATAGCTAGCAAGTGGTCGAATCAGATTCCAGTTCAGCCAGTAATTCTGGCGTATATCTGGGCTCACTGTCCTTATTTTCTCTCCCATTCATGATGATCTTCCTCAGGTCTGTAGATGAAAGAATTGATTTGAGAAAATGCATTCTTTTGGTGTCTACATTGTGGGATTAGATTTCTAGAAAGACCTCTAAAATAATGAAAGTTTAGGTAAATGAATCTTTTGTGTTATGGTCAATATTTTAATCCATTTATGATATTTTTTGATGACAAATGTAGCTATTGTGTGGAACTGATAATTTTCACTTTTTGCTACTCATAAGGAATCTGGAATGAGAAATTATAACTGTATTAACTCTTCCATTTAATGGAATATTTAAATCATTGTGTATTTAGTTTTACAGCTTTAAAAAACCACTTGGCACTGGTACTCTTTGGATTGAATTATGAAGTTGAAATTTAGCTAATGATTGAATGTTAGTCCAAACTCAGTTTTTATTCTACAATAGCTGTGCTTATCATGTGCTTATAATATTGGAAACAGGGTTTTGAATAGTGTTTACATGTATAAAATAAGAGTTGAATCATTAATACTTTATGTGGGACAACTTTGAAAGTTCTTTGGGATTGTGAAGTAAAAGGTACTGTAGAAATGCACTGTGCCTTCTGTGGAACCACTCAATAAATGGTTGTTGAAAAGATGAGCCCACTGATTTTATTTATGAAGTTTCAGGAATAGACCATACTTGTTTTATTGGTTATCTAAAAACTGAAATCACAGTCAGTTCATATGGAATCATGGAGTGAACTGTGGTAGGTTCATTACTGACCTTTCCTGTCTAATGAGATCCAAACTCTACAGCTACTTTGCTATTGCCCTGGTTGGCCATACTTTAGGAGAGCTCTGTCCAGAAGCCAGGCTCTCTCAATGGATTGAGTGTTCCTTCAGCCCGAATGGAATAGGTTCTTGAAAATGTGTACTAGGGGTAAAGTAGCAGAACTAAAGACAAAATTTAAGTCTTCTATCTTCAATAGTATTATGCAAGACAAAGATGGAAAGCCAAATACAAAACAAAAATATTATTTAACATACCTTAAATTAGTAGTGATGGTACATTGTTTCCACTGATCATCCTCTGATTGACAATTCCCAGATTTCCCATCTCCCATATTTTCATGGAGATGCTTATAAGTCCACTTTACTTTGTTATAAAACTGTTACAGATTTAAAGTATTGGTTTGGGTTTGAAAGATCTGTACTTAGTAAAAAGGACCATGAGTTGGTCCATCACAGGGAAATCAGACATATTTACTTTTTTGTGAATAGAAATCTTGGGCCAGGGATTTAGTTCAGTGGCAGAGTGCCTGCCTGGCAGATGCGAGGTCCTGAGTTCAATTCCTAAAACAAAACAACCCAGAAATCTTGGAGGTATATTTCCTCCGCAGTAGAATAGTTCTGTCTACATTGAAAATCCACTGAGACAAGGTGTCCTAGAGGATCTCTGTACAAATCACAGGGAAGACACTAGTAATTACAGGTCATATGGTGTCCTGACCATTCACACTAAAGCCTTGTCAACTGTCTGTGGTTTGTGATAATAGCAGGTGTACGATTGTTGGGACCACAAATTTATAGTGGCTGGTTTTACATATTTCCTTATGGGATAAAAGGAAGAATTTGGATTATTGGTACCACCCATCTGAGATTTTTCCATTGTTTCTTCTTAGCATAACATCTTCTATGCCTTGTGAGTCATCTCAGGATTATACTCAAAATTAAGATACTTCTCCTAAATTAACATACTCTGCTACTTGGAAGAGTGTTTGAACCACTCCCAAGATCCTGCTGAGTTTCCTGCATTTTTTCACTGTCATATCTTTCTTAATTGAAAAAATAAATATGGGCTGCCCAGAGACTTTTCTTGTCTTAGCCCACAAAGTCTTGAACTTTGCAGAGGGTTTTGATCCTCCTGGAGCCCTAAAAATCATACCACTTGTCTCATTTATTTTAAGCCTTCACCATACACTTGTTTGGGAGATTGGGGATCTAGGCCAGGTCCCTGATAACTGGCACCTGATTGAAACAGTATATAGGATATACATCTTTTATATGTACTTTTTACTATACTTAAGTTTTAAATTCTTGAACAAACTCTTTGCCTACGATTTAACATTAGACCTTTGGCCACCCAAATTCATGTTAATCTTCTGGGCTACATGTACAGGATGATGGTGTCCTTTTTCCTTCCCTTTCTTCCTTCTTGAGTTTTACTGATTACACAGGTATACAGTTTTCATATATTAAAATATAATTCTGTGATCCCATATGCACAGGCAGTATTCATTGTAAGAAATTAAAATTATTTGCTGTCTTTACATCTGATTGAATAGGAAAATTTGTTCTCCTTTTTCTAATTTTTGGGATACTTTTACTACTTTTGCATTTCCTTAAGTAGGATGGAGTTGATTTTTAATACCTC